CTTTATGAAATCCCTTTCTTCCCCAAGTTGCTTTTGGCCATTGTCTTAGGGTTTCTATTGCTCTGAAGAGACACCGTGACCATGGCAACTCTTATAAAGGAAAACATTTCACTGTGGCTGGCTTACAGTTCAGAGGTTTAGTCCGTTATCATCATGGCAAGAAGCATAGCGGAGTGCAGGCAGACACGGTGCTGGAGAAGTAGCTGAGAGTTCTACATCTGGATCTGCGGGCAGCATCAGGAGACTGAGACACAATAGGCCTAGCTTGAGCATATGAGACCTCAAAGCCTGCCTCCATAGTGACACACTTCCTAACAGGCCACACCTCCTAGCAGTGCCACTCCCTATAGACCAATCATTCAAACACATGAGTCTATGCGGGCCATTCCTATCCAAACCACCACAGCCATGGTGTTTTTCACAGCAACAGACACCCTAACTCAGACATTGTGCACTTGGAATGTAGGGTTACAGGTGAAAAGTTTGTTGTAGCTGTAAGGTACAAGAAACATGCAGAAGGAATGTGTGAAGAAGCAAAGTACCAAGGGGAAACTATGCTACTTCATAACTGTAATTTTGCTACTGTTATGGATCATAATGTAAATATCTGATACCGGACCTCTGTGGGGGTCATGACCCACAGGCTGAGAACCACTGCCATACAAACTACTGAAGTAGCTGGAAAACAACAGCAAAAAAAAAAAAACAGTGAAAGAGGCAGGTGCTCTGGGGTCCTCACCAAAAAGCTCAAGTGGGAAGCACCCACCCAGGCTTTCCCTGTCCTCAACAGAGTGACAAAAGCTCAGACCCACAGGAAGAGGCAGTGAACTCTGAGTGAGGCAGCATGTGGAGATGGTGCTGTGACTTCTTAGCTGGACCAGGAGGGTCAGAGCCAGAGGCCAGCAGGAGAAAAGAATGAGAAGAGACAAGGCTGGGGCTGGAGAGATGGCACAAGGGTAAAGTGCTTGCTGTGCAAACATAACTGCTCACATAAACAGCTGGGTGTGTGGGGGGGACACATTTGTACCCCAAGTTAGGGTGGAGACAGGTGTATCCCAGTGCTCATCGGCTAGCCAAAAGAAATACATCTTGCTATCACTCTCTGGCCTCCTTAAGTGCCCATGCTGGTAAACATACTCATGTACATTTATACTATACACACACACACACACACACACACACACACACACACACACACACACACACAATTTGTTATCCCAGTACTGGAAGGCGGAGATGGGAAAATACGTGGGCCTATAAACCAGCTAGCCTAGCTTCTTGACCAGGCCCAGACCAATTAGAGACCTGTTTCAGAGGAACACCACCAGATATTGTTGTCCTCTGACCACACACACCCACACCCACACACACACACACACACACACACACACACAGAGTGTGAGCTACAGAGAGGGTGTTCCTGCCAGCAACCCCAGAGAAGCACTGCAGCTTGTGGTCAGGAGCACAGCCTTGGAGGCAGGAAACTGAGAGTTCAGTTCAGACTCCTCCACTTGCTAAGTGACCTAGGGCCCATTGCTTAATCTTCCCATTTGTAAAATGTGGGTAACAATAAACCTCACAAAGCTGTTACGAGGATCAGAAGAGTGGATGTAGGGTGTGGTGATATACACTCACTACATAGTGAGAAGTTACTGCAACAGAAATAGATAACCAAGGAAACAAATATTGAAAGAATGAGAGCCAGTGAAATGGCTCAGTGGATAAAGATGCTTAATGGGCAAGCCTGAGCTTAATCCCTGGAACCCTCTTAGGGTGGAAGGAAAGAACCAACTCCACAAAGTTGTCCTCTGACCTCCACACATGCACTATGGCCTTCAGACCCTCACTCCCATCATGCATACAACAGTAAATAAAATGTATGGAAAGAAGGAATACACACATAGCACTGAGAATGTGACCAGGAATGTCTGCTGAGTATGCTCAGTCAGTGCTGGGGTGATTATGATTAGTAAACACATTGTTCTTTTGTTTCTGGCCTCAGGAAAATACAATTTTAAATCTGCATTTGTCTTATTCACAGGTATATTATGTGATTTTTGTGGGTTCTGGAGGAGAAAGATCTTGCTGAAAATTTTTTTCTAGAGCATCTTACCTGCTGTAGCCCCTAAGAAGCCACAGGAGAAATGGGCTGCTGCTTTGGGATTGTAGGAGGCCTTTAGAAAATGTTAATGCTGTAGGAATAGGGAACACTTTCACAACCAGAAGCTATGTGTTGATATACCTCAGTAGGCAGGACAGAGAGGGTGTGGCTGGGAAAATGCAACCCTGGGCAGAAGATTCTAATTTAGGGTGCTGTCTTGGTGGGACTGTTGTCTTACATGGAGTCTCCAGGGCCCTCGAGATAGTTTAAGCCTGAGAAGAAAAGGGAAACCAGATGGACAGGAAAGGAGCCCAGAGAAGACAGCCTTGTTTATGTCATATTGTTTAGGGACAACCCTGTTAAGACTAGGTGCTGAAATGCTGCACTCAAGACTTGAGGGTCTGCCCCACCTTGTCTAGAGGACTTGAAGGTGATGACCCAGTAGGTTTTATGTGAAATGACTGCGGATATCTTTCCATCCAGTCTGAGGTTGAAGCTGACAGGAATCGGAATGTCAGATTCTCTGGGGCCGCCGACTTCTAGGTTGCTGCCGTTTCCTAGCAATCCAGGGCTTGTGCCAAGTCACTGCACAGGCACAAAACTGCTGGTGGGTTTCCCTCGAGAGGAAATAGTTCATTGGAGCCTCACTGTAGAAACCAGCACAGGCAGGTAAAATGTTTTTTATAATTGCCACTAGGAAAAAGAGAGGGCCCAGGGGGACTCTTCTGCCCAAGGGACCCTCTCTAGTTATAACCTAATTTGTTGTGCGTATGTAGATCATGTGGGTGGAATTTATCCTTCTGAGGTATCAGGCTAGATTGTTTTCAAATTGTGTGGAGACTCTAAGAAATGGAAGTTACTGCATTTTCCCACCATGCTCTGTGGTTCAAATGTGAGGTTTTGAGATAGAAACTGACACCTGTCACTATATGGTGGGGTCTGTTTCCTTTTTTCCCTATTGGGGTTGTACATGAAGCCTCTGCAGTTCTGGAATTGAGGTTTGTGTTTTTGATAAGGACAGTTCTATGGCGGAAGAACAGGAAACTGGAAGCTAGTTGTCACTGAAGAAGCTTCTACAGCCATTCTGATCTATGATCATTCTGGAATTTAAGTTCATTTGCATGTGGTAGAGCAGTGCAAATAAACCACAGAAAAACCTCAGCAAGTTACCCCTAGTGGTAAAAAATGGCAAGGCAAAAGAGTTTTCTGGCAAGAAGAAGGTATTATATGCAAGGTGAAAAAGATGAATCCAACATGTATAACTAAAATGAACTTTGAAATACAAGAACTAGGTATAAACACCATTTGAAGTGGTTTCCTGAAGGAGTCAAACCAAATGCTATTTTTCATGCTTTATAGGGGTTTAATTGTCTTAACTGAATGCGATTCTGAGGTCAGAAAGCTAAATAAGCCCCTTCCATACATCCTTGGTATATTTGTACCTACAGCATGGTGTGTTGCATGGTTTGCTGAATTTCAAGAGATGTTTAAGGGCAGGCTAAGGGTATAGCTAGAACCGTGAAGTGCCTGCTTAGCCGGCTTGAGGCCCTGAGTTCAAACCCAGCAACTCCCCTTACTAAACAACAAACAAACAAATCATCCTGAGGTTGAAGCTATTTAACAGAAATGTCTGAAATGAGCAAGGAGATTGGGGGGCTTCTGGGTCCTTTGCATGAGGAGCTAGCAAGATGACAATTTCTGCAGTGTAAAGAATAGGATGATCTGGCTCAACAAGCACCCCCAAAAATGCATACCCTGAAACTCAATTCCTGCTTCCTCAGAATGCAAATAGACCTAGGGCCTTTAAATAGACAACTGTTTTGAAATGCAGCCATTAGTGTGGGCTCCAATCCAATCAGACTGGTTATCTCACAAGAAGTTTGGCTGGGTGTGGTGGTACATGCCTCTAATCTCAGCATTTGGAAGGAGGATAGTCTGGGCCAAATCATGAGTTGAAGACTGGCCTGCTGGGTTACCAATGGAGATCGTGTCTCTTAACAGTGTCAAACAACAGTAACAGAAGAGATCTGGACAGAGCTAGAGAGAGGACATATATGCATGCCCAGAGAGATGACTGTGTGAGACTGGGTAAGAGGGTGACATCTGCAAGGCAAGGAGGTAGGTCAGAAGAAACCACACCTGTCCACACTATGATCTTTGGCTTTAGCCTCCAGAAGTTGATGAAAACTAGTGTCTGTTATTTAGGCAGCAGTCTGGCATTTTGTGTGGCCACCGTTGTGGACTAATACAGACAGAACAGATGTCATCCAATAATGACCTGCAATTAAAAGGGTCTAGAAAAGATTGTGATCATCTCAGGGTACTTCTAAGATTCAGGTTTCTTAAAGTCTATAAACTATCAACCTCAGACTCTCTTGTAATAAGTTTTTGTTTGTTTGTTTGATTAGTTGGTTTTTGAGACAGGGTCTCTTTCTGTATCTACATAGCCTTGGCTGTCTTGGAACTCACTACATAATCCAGGCTGGCCTCTAACTCACAGAGATCCACCAGCCTCTGCCTCTGCCTCTGAGTACTAGGATTAGAGGTGTGCTCCACCATGCCCAACATTCCTGTAATACTTTGGAAAATGCACGTCCCCGGGATCTAGTGTTACAGTGTTCTTCTGTGTATCTGGGCTCTTATTGTGCTGAAATGTCCCAAATGATGCTTTTGAAAACCAAAGCTTGAGCTCCACTGCTTGGCTCTCGAGCACTAATTATCTCAAGTGCTAGAGTAGGCAGTGTTCAGGCAGATGTTCTACCATCTAGGAAACAGATGTAAATCTTATTGTTAGTTATCAGTGTCAGTGGGTACCACAGCATGTGGGAAAGCTGAATGAGGTGGAACAAATGGAACCCTTGAAGGAATTTACATTTGATTCTGGAAATATGATCCTCACCTATCTTCCTTAAGGATATAATGGCACAATTTGAACAGTCATCTTCAATACATGTGATTACACTTCTCTCTTTAGGTTTATATTTAAAGGTCCAATATCTTGGTGCCTAAATAGACAAAGGGAGAACAGGAATTGAATCAGCATATCTAACCTTTCTATTGCTTTTTTTTTTCTGTTGTTGTTCTCCTCCTCCTCCTCCTCCTCCTCCTCCTCCTCCTCCTCCTCCTCCTCCTTCCTCTTCTTTTTTGTTGTATTTCAAGACAGGGTTTCTCTGTGTAGCCCTGGTTGTTCTGGAACTCACTCTGTAAACCAGGCTGGCCTCTGCCTTTCAAGTGCTGGGATTGAAGGTGTGTGCCACCACCACCAGGCTGTTGTGCTTTAATCATACCCTGAGCCTTGAAAATGCAAGTGAGCTATATCCCTAGCATGCCCTGTACTGTAAAATATATTTGTGAAGTAGATAAATGATAATAATAGCTATAAAGGCTAAATATACATAGAAAGGATAAATATTCCGCATGGGTTCTATGCAGAATGGAAATTTAAAAAAAAGTATTTCCTTGTGGCATAAGGCAACTTTTCTTACTTTCGTTTCTGGATCAAAGAGGGAGAGAGAAGAGAAGGAGGGTTGATGAAGCATGAACATTTTTTTTTTGGTTGTTTTTTTAGGACAAGGTCTGACTCTGTCACCCTGGCTGGCACAGGACTCCTGCTTCTCCTGCTGTAGCCTCGCTAGTACCAGGATTATAGATGTGCACCACACTGGGCTTGTACACTGTCAAAGTAGGCAAAGTAATACTCCTTCAACTATGGCAGTGCCTTAGAGACATTCAAAAACTGCCATGCTAGCTGAGCATTGTGGTTCAAATCTGTATTCCCAACACTGGGGACACTGAGGCAGGAAGATTGTTGTGTGCTGTGCGAGGCCTGCCTGAGCTATGTTATGAGCTCCAGATCAGCCTGGACACAGAAAGTAAGGTCTAGTCTTAGGAAGAAACAAACTGCTGCCCTATTCACAAGGCTTTATTTATTTATAGACAGGGCCTCACTCTGTAACCTATAGTGTCCCAGAACTTGTGTAGGAACTCATTCTGTATCCTAGGCTAGCTCCAGCTCGCAGCAAACCTCCTGCCTCTGCTCCTCAAGTGCTGAGATTACAGACACGCGCTGCCACACCCAAAAAGGGACACCGGGTCTGTAAGAACTCTTGGTTTTGGTGGTTTGTTTTGTTTTAAAACAGAACTTTAGGCATGACATCTGTTTGTTTTCCTTATGGTGTCCAGCCTTTAAGCCCAACTCAGCTAATGTCCTAGTAGTCACCAGGCCTGGTTAGAAGTTCCTATGGCCATTGTATTCAGTATCAGGCACATGGCTAATTATTTTTCTTCCTAGATTAACCCATTTTAGTGTCTCTGTGCAGACCACTGGGTTCTCACTGGGTCCTGTCCCTCACCGTGTGTGTGTGTGTGTGTGTGTGTGTGTGTGTGTGTGTGTGTGTGTGTGTGTGTGTGTGTGTGTGTGTGTGTGTGTGTGTGTGTGCTTAGCGGGACTGAAAATCTTGTCATTCAGGTTCCAGGTGCTTTCCAGAAACAAGAATTCTGGCACTTAGAAGAATTGATTTAAAAACGCTAGACCGTAATACCTTGGGGAGGATCCGAAGAAAAGCCCTGAGCGCAAGCGGGTTTCTTTAGGAACGAAAAGGAGAAAGCGTGCCAGCCTGGGCAGCCAAGGAGCCTCAACAATGCCGCGCGGTCCTTTCGGCTGAAAGGGGTCCAAGCGGGCCCGGTGCGCGTGGAGGGCCGGCCTTCTCTCCAGACCTTTCGGTGCAGCCTTCTGCCCCCGACTCGGGGCTCGGCGAGGTCCGGGCCTAGGCCGGGCGGCCGGGGCGCCCTGAACGGCGGCCCGGGGGGTCCGTGGAGCGGGCGGCGCCGCGCCTTCGTTAGAGGGCGCTCAGGGGCGCCGCCGCTTCCTCCCGCCGCCCCTCCCGCCAGCCGGGAGCCCTGGGGACCGAGTCTGCACGCCGCCCGGGACCCGGAGCGGGGAGGGCCGCGCCGCCGCCGCCGCCGCCTCCTTCCGCTGGCCATGCATTCTTCCGGCTCCCGCAGCCCGGGCCCGGCCCCGGCCTGCCCGAGGTAACCTGGGGCGCGGCGGGCCGGGGCCGGGAGGCGCTGGGGGCGGGGAAGGGTGCCGTTGGTCGCGTGGCCTGCGAAGGAGGCGGCGGCGTCCCGAGGGCCGAGGGCGCGGTAGGCCCCGGGGAGGAGGCGGGGGCGCCCGGGCATCGCCCGCCTCCCCGGGACCCGCCCCGGTGACAGGTCCGGCCTCTGAGTCCCCACCGCGCCTCTGTCCGCAGGCAGCCGCGAGGGGACTAGGGCGCCCGCGCGCCCGCTCGCGCCGCGCCTCGGGCCGCCTGGGCCGCCGCAGCCGCGTCCATGACCGCGACCCCCGGGCCGGGGACTGCCGCCGCCGCCGCCGCCGGCCCTCGGCCCTGTCGCCGCTCGCCGCCCGCGCCCATTGAGGTGAGCTCGCTCGCTGGAGAGACTCGGCTGAGGGGAGCGGGCTGAGGGGAGCCTCCCGAGGAGACCGGGCTGAGGGGAGCTGGCTTGGGGGAGCAGGCTGAGGAGACCGGGCTGAGGAGACCCGGCTGAGGGGAGCGGGCTGAGGGGAGCGGGCTGAGGGGAGCGGGTTGAGGAGACCGGGCTGAGGGGAGCGGGCTGAGGAGACCCGGCTGAGGGGAGCGGGCTGAGGAGACCCGGCTGAGGGGAGCGGGCTGAGGAGACCCGGCTGAGGGGAGCGGGCTGAGGAGACCCGGCTGAGGAGACCCGGCTGAGGAGACCCGGCTGAGGGGAGCGGGCTGAGGGGAGCCCGCTGCGGCGACCCCGAGGCCGCCCCTCTCCTCACCTGGGGAAACCTCTGCCTGCGCCTCCGCCGCCGGGCGTCGCGGGCTCCGCATCCCTCGCCCCTCGCTCGGCTTCACCCTCTGGGTCCCGCTCCCCTCCCCCTCCCGCCGGCTTCCTCTCACCTTCATCCTCCTTCCTGTCCCCCTCAGAGACCAGGGAAAGCAAAGCCCCGCCGCTGCGGAGCAGCCCTTGGGGAGCCCCGGGAAAGGCATGGCCGGGTGCGCAGGGGCGGCGGTGGCGGGACCCCGTGCTCCGTCCGGCAGGTCGGGTCACCGAGACACCCAGGCTGTCTGGCGGAAGCCAGGCGACCGCAGTGGACGCGGCGCTGCCGCCGGGTAGCGGGACGGCTTTATCGTTGGCTAAATATACTCCGCCGTGGCCCATGCCCCGCGGAACAGCTCCCGTGACCTTGTGCGGCGCCTCCCTCCTCTCGGTCCCCCTCTCTGTCCCCCCTCTGGAATTTGACCTCGAGATCGCCCAGTGTCGCACCGGGAGAGCTTAGCCCCTCGCGTTTTCTCCTCGTTCTGTGCTGCGGACTGCTTTAAAGGTGTTGCATCCATTTTCCTTTTGAAATGATTTTTTCCTTTCATCCCCAGAAAGACAGGACCGACGCCAATGTGAGAATGGCTGTGACCGTGGAAGAAGCTCCGTGGCTGGGCTGGACCGTAGCGAAAGCCCTGATGAGATTTGCCTTCATGGTCGCCAACAACCTGGTTGCTATCCCATCCTACATCTGCTATGTAATTATACTGCAGCCCCTCCGAGTGCTGGACAGTAAGCGCTTCTGGTATATCGAGGGACTCATGTACAAATGGCTTTTAGGAATGGTGGCTTCTTGGGGATGGTATGCAGGATACACAGGTAAGAGCACTTTAATGCATTTGAACCAATTTGCAATGCATAAGTCAGGAGCCATGATTGAGTATTTATGCTTTGGGTTGAGAATGCTTTGGCTATTGGGAAAAAAGTCTTTGTTGGATTTCTCATCAGAACCTCAGCCAGGAAGCCTGATGTTATCAGAAATATAATTTTATAATTAAATATTGTTGGTAGATTCCTTAAATAGTGTATTTTTAATGTGCTTGACATCGACTTATTAAAAAATGCTTTGCAAAAGCTATCATAGAGGAATAGGAATGCATTATGTAGGACTTTAAGGGCTTACAAAGTGAAAATGTAAGATACTGGTCCATAAACATTGAAATTTAGAGAAGCCATGGAGTCATGTTTCTGCTAAGACAGTTTAGTAAGTTTTTTCATGCAACGTGGTACTGCACTGTGTTAATGTTTTAAGCCAAGCCCCCTTATTTCTGTTAAGTATATTTCTTTTGTTTTCTAGAATTTATATTTTATCTCATAAATCTGACATTATTAAAAATTTTTAAGTTGTTATGTGTCTTAATTTGCCCTGGGTGTCTTTAAATGGGTTTCTGTTTTTGCTTTTAAACTGCACTGGGGCGAAGGAGTGACCCATGCTGAAGTGGAGTACTCCTGAGAAGTGGTGTTCATCTTCTACTGTGAACATTACCTGTTTTGAGAGCTTCCATTTCTGCCCAAGTGCTGTCTTCTTTTCTCCCCTTTGATTGATTCTTTTCTTGACTCTTGCTTCTTTAAGATTAAAACAATGCATAAAGAGGTGAGGCTCCTGGCACTTGTGACATGTGGAAGCTTTTCTATGGAAATAGAAAACTGGTGGCCAGGTGCCTCGGCAACTCTGCTGCATAATAGTTCATAGCTAAGAAGAGTAGAGGGTACTGTAAGGGTCGAGAAGCAGACCAGTTCTCCATTTTAAGTTCTCTCTTCCTCTTGCCTGCACAGCCTGTATCTGCAGATTTTATCCATACACCCCAGAAAGACTGACGGCACACGGGGGTCTGGCAGACTTCTGCTGTGTGAGAGAATGTTCTCTGTTGCCCCGGATGAAGGCTTTTCCCCGTCCATCACTGATATCCATTATTCTGTGAGCCCAGGGGATAGTATATGCATTGCTTCTTTGTAATGAGCTGTTGAGATTCCAGTGCTTTTTTTGGGGTACAGTGGTGAGCACCTCATCCTTTTCAGTGCCTGGTAGCAATCGCCGTGGTAGAGAGAAAGATGAGGCTCCTCCTGCCTGTGGTGCTGAGTCTCATCTTCATTGCATTGCTCTCTTAAGAATGGCTTTGCTTAGTGTAGCTGACTTCCCCAAATATGCTGTGTAATAACTGGTGGGTTTTAAATCAGCTTATAGGCTTTCAGAAACAGCTGTTTTTATACTTAAAAACAATGAATAACTGAAATACTTGTACTTGTATGTAATACATATTTATGGGTGTCAGCCTGATAAAGAAATTAGCCATTGACCTTGAGATTATGAGAAACATGGTAAGTACTGCTGCCTGAAGTTAATCACCTATGGTCACAACTTGGTAGCAGTGTCCTTTTTCTGTTTTTCTTGAGACAAGATTTTTGTGTGTGTATCCTAGGCCACCCCTAAACTCACACTGTAACCCAGACTGGCACTGCCTCAGCTTCCCAAGTGCTGGGATTTCTGTACCTGCCTCCAGTGTGTTTTTAAGCAAAGATTCTTGGGGCATCTTCTTTACTGACTACAGATCTATGAGGATTTTTTGCATTCAGCTTAATGGTCATGGTGTGAGCTCTATATTTCAGTCTCTTTGAAACATTTGCTCTTCTTCAGGCTACTGAATGTTGGCAATTTGATTAGTTCTCATCAAATTTTAGTTTGCATATTTTCATTGAGTTTTTTTATGAGCAGAACACTTGATTATGGAAAGTCTGGTCACAGTCTGATCATAACAGAACAGTTAAGAAGTCAAACAAAGTAGGAATGACTTTTGTTGAAAGCCTGAGTAAAGTCTAAAGAGGCTAACCTACATAGAAGTTAATGAGCTCCTTTCTTTGCATTATGTATCTCATTTCTTTCCTTTCTATCAAGAGGACAGTAGGCATTTTGTTTACCTTTCTCTGTAAGTTTTACAGATGGAAAATTGAACAGTGTCAAAGGAATTCTCAGAAGATCTGCTCAGTAGCTTGGTATTAGAATACTTGCCTAACATGCACAAATTTCTGGTACTACAGACAAACAAGCTTCCTTGTTAGTATAAAGGAAGATTTATTGAAACTCCATGACGAGGCAAAAATCACAAAAAACGAATCCTTCAAACATACGTGATTCTTGCCCCATAAGCCCATGAACCTTTCTTTGTTTTTTCTTTGGAGATCCTTTTGTTAGTGCACCTGCTCATCAACTCATGTATAGGTTGACACCTGACTCGGTGTCACAGAAGTCATTCCTACACTGTTTGCTGTCCTGACTGTCCTGTTAGGATCATACCAACAAGTCTAGTGTGTTCATGTTTCAGAATAAAAATTGCCAACATTTTGTTGAAAATCCACTTAGAAGGAATTTTTAAATATCAGTTAGAAAGCTGAAAAGTGAACACTGGTTTATAATGACAAATTTTCAAATTGTGGTATTTCAGTGTAAGGCATGATGACTGCTCAGCTGAGGACTATGGTGATCCTTTAACCTACCCTGATCTATATGGTAGCAGCTAGCTGCATATGAATTAGTTAAAACAATATAAAATTGAAATTCAGTTTGGTTACACCTACATGTCAACACGCAGTACTGGGTGGCTTAGGGGCTCCTGAACTAACAAATACAAACAGATAAAGAACAGTCTGTCATCGTAGAAAATTCTACTGGACAGAACCAATAAATAGTCCTATGGCTTCTTTCTTCTTCTTAGGAAAATTGTATTTTCTATTTTATCAGGAGAACATCTTTTTCTTTCTTTTTTTTAATTTTTATTTTATAATTAATTTAATTTTACATATCAGCCACAGATTCCCCTGTCCTCCCTCCTCCCACCTGAGAACATCTTTTTCTTGATCTAACAAATTTCTGGGCTGGGGATACAGCTTAGTGATAGAATACTTGCTGCATATGTAAATAAATAAACAGGTTCCTTTGGGATATACAGGAAGATTTATTAAAGTTCTGTGAAGAGGCAAACAAAATGAGTCCTTCAAACACACTTATGATTCCTGGATGAGGAATGATAAGACCCATAAGCCCAAGAAACATTTTTGTTATTGTTGATTGTTTTTTGAGACATGGTGTCATTATGTTGATATGTAATCCTGGAACTCACTATATACACATACACACACACACACACACACGTATATATATATATATCACAGGCTGGCCTTGAATTCATGGTGATCCTCCAGCTTCAGCCTCTCACATGCAAGCTGAATTACAAGCATAAGCCACCATGCCTGGCTTCCCAGAATTTTGTGTTTAGTTTTGTCTTCTCAGAGATGAAGAAGTACCTATAGACACAAAAGATAGGAGATTTTCTGGTCTGTCTACCTTTTCTGACTTTGTCTTGTCAGATGAACACATTTCTTGAAAGGACCCTAAAGACCATGGGGTTTGTGCAGGCTCACTTGGTAATAGGAGTGGTGAAATTGCAACCACTAGCTTTTCAGCGGCAAATGATGGACAGCCATTTCATACTGGGACAAGCTTTATACTGTTGGCCCTAATACTGTGAAGGCAGTCTGAAAACTACTAGCTTAGCCAGTGGTCTACTTCTGTATGCATTACTTGGGTCTGTAAGTCAGCCTATCTCTCCTCCAATTTAAGTGAAGACTAGCAAATTTCAGAGAGTGCATATATATAAAAGAAAATGTGCTTATATAAGGTAGTTTTAACTTTCGTTCACTTATTTTGGTAAAGTCATCGTTATTCAAACACATTTAATTAAAGTCTCAGTACATTAAACAGTTTAAAGATATTCATTGTAAGTGGAAGCTCCAGAATTTCTACAAAGGACAGAGTCTGTCTGGGCAAGGAGCTTGGGGGCTTGCTGCCGAGCTGGCTTTGCTTAGCAAATGCTGTTTTCCTTAGATAGATATTTACCTGTGTTGGTTTGAGGGAAAGCTGATGCCGATTAAGCTGTTTCTTCCTGAGCCAGGCTTCAGTGGCACTATATGTTCAACTTTGTGGGTTATTTGACTATTTGGTAGTGTATGTCTGCTGAGCTGTGCTGAAGAATGTGTGGGATATTTTGTTGTTATTTAATTTAATTTTATTCTTTACTGTAAGTGAAGGTAGTATCTGAAAAGTATTATTCTGACGGGAATGCAGCTTGGAACTCTTGAGTCAGTGATAATGATCCTTCTTACCTCACTAGTGATCTTGCCTGTGACCTACAAGATCTTCTTTATAATTCTAGAGCCTGATTGATTGCCTGATGTTTGTAAGGTGCTTGGTAAGTGTGTTTATATGTATATTTGAGATAGAGTCTCATGTTCCAGGCTAGCCCAATTCACTGTGTAGGTAAGGCTGGCCTTAAACTTCTGACTGTACTGTTTCTACCTTCCAACTGCTGGAATTATAGATTTATGCCACTCCATGAGGTCTGTTTTTTTTTTTTTCAGGAGATGGAAGCTAGCGCCACATACATGTGGTTTGAAGCCCTCTACCCTAGAGTCCAGCTTTCTCTTTCTTCTTGAGTAACCTCTTTCCTGTTTTTTTTTTTTAAGAAAAAAAAATTTTTCATTCACTGATTGCCTTCCTGATATAAAGGTGGCTGCAGGCTACAAAATATGAACCCTAAACCAGATCATATGAAATTAGTATTTTTCATTTAATGTGTTTGTTTACTTTTAAACAGTGTCTTGCTATGTAGCTTTGGCTGGCCTGGAACTCACCATGTAGATCTGCCTGACTCTGCTTCCCAAGTGTTTGGCATTAAAGGTGTGCAGCACCATGGCCAGCCCTTCCTCATTTAATGTTTTTATTGAGCTTGTACCTGTGTGTGGGAACAGGTGCCCTGGAAGTATTT